TTGATCTTCTAATGATTCCTTACTGCCTAGGCCTCCGATCTAATTAATCTACGGTGTTGAATCGGCGTTCTGACGGTTCTTCAGCAAAGCATTGTACACCAATTGATAATGGCAACGGGTGAATATACGTTTCAGGGATATAGAGAACTCACTCATGAGGGCTGTATAGGGGGTTGACAATTGATCATTTCGAACCCTGATGAAGAATCAGAAACAAATTGATGCCATCAAAGAGCTTAGGCAAATAACCATCCAGCAAGCCATTGCTCTGGAGCAGAAGGAGCGAGTCGTGACCCTTGTCCAGGTCATCGTACATCTTGTTCACACGATTTGACATCCTGGGAACAACATCGTTGCATGGGTGTTATAAGTTTCAATCAAAGCCTTGCACATGCAATTTGACTCAATAACTGAGGGGTGCTCTTCTCTAGCAGAGTGGAGGGCTTCTCGACCATACCGATCAACTTTTGAATATCCTCTAACTGCTTCTGTCTCTTGGTCACTGCATCCAAAGCCTTGACGATGATGCTTGAAGGCTTTGCAGCCTCCTGGAGTTCTGGAAACCCCAAGCGCTTCACTATCTTCGCCAGCTCCTGGTTCTGCGAGATCTGGGACAGGGATTCGGAATTGCCGTCCGGGGCTGCTCCTGGGCTTGGAGTTTAGGAATTATACTTAGGGTTTAGGGTGTAGGGTTGAGTTAGGTATATAATAGAGGCTAAGTTGCCAGCTTCGTGCATAAGGTTTGGCATGTCCCCAGCATCAAAATCCACTTCCATTTGGCTTGACGAAGAATCGAAGTGGGTTTCCTCTTTCATGGATAGTCGTTCTGTATTCCTTGGAAGACACTGCTGTTTGGACTAGAGGGATCGATCAAAACACACATTGCATGCATAGGCGTGGAAACAAGCTTAGACACGTCTTGTGGCCCTTCACCTTGAGCTCACAATAGTAGCGCCACACGTTCCTCTTGTACGGGTGCTTCCTGGGACGTGCATACGGGAATGGTTATACAGGGCATGGCTCCAGGACTGTATTATAAAATTCAGACTAGCAGCTTCATGAACTTTTCAGGGTTCTTCTCGGCAGCAGCCACACAAGCATCGATTTCATCCCTCAGAGGACAGGCGGACTACCAAGACGTGTCAACCGGACCTATAAAATAATACGTCAACATAAGCTATGCTGTTGATATATTATATATTTTATAGTTCCGATTGTCACGTCCTGGTAGACAAAGGATGCCAAACATAGGAACCCTAAACCCTGAACCCCGAACCCTAAAGTTTGGGCGCTAATAATTATGCTTCAGATGAGGCACTCTGTCATGTGCTGGTCGTCGGCCATCTCCTGATCAGAACAATAGACACTTGGGTTGTACACATAGAGGGCTCTTGTAATTAATGGTTTAGGGTTTAGGTTTTAGGGTTTAGGGTTTAGGGTATTATAGTCTTTGTAGGACTCAGTTGCAGTCTCTGAATTTAGAAATATTTGACAGGAAAGGCTGTTCTTTGTCCGTTAACAGACGATTGGATTTAGGTATAGTTCGGGATTATATATAACCTAAACAAAAAACCGTAGTGTTCTTCCATTACATGCCTAGGTACCTGTTTCGTGAGAAACTCAAACTCCACACCAACCTTCATCTCTTTCTCAGATGTTCGGGTCACCGAAAACCGTTTGATGAATGCCTCGGGATCGTTGCCGCACTGGGCGAACAACTTAAATACCCCTTCTTTGCCATGCCCATGCCACTGCTTCCGGATGTCTTCATTCACCTTAAAGTCACCCTTGGCAGTGGGCTCCATAATTCTGTTGATGCGTTTCAACAAAGTAAGCCGGCTTGGTGGATCGACATGATGCTGCTGGTGTGCTGGCTGTGCTGATGCTGTCACCGTTGGTGCTTTCGGTGCTGCTTCGTTCGGTGTTGTTGCAGCGGATGATGGCTCCGCTTGTGCTGGTGGCGGGGTAGGCTGCTGTGGGGGGGTGGGACTCTGGGAGCCGAGTGCAGAGGCTGGGGACTCGGTCTCGGTAGGGGTGCACCCTTGGAAGGAAAGGCATCGCTGGGTAGATTTAAGGTCACCCTGCGGCTGTGCATCCTGGGTCCAGACCTCGCTCGGATCTTTTCGCAACTGCGGTGTCTTCATCAACTGAGCTCGTGCTGCTTCGACCTTTGCTTTGGCTTCTGCCAAGCGCTCTTCCTGCTGCCTGGCTCGGGCTAGTGTTTTTTGCAGCTCCTGGTTCGACCTTGCTTCCTGCTCCAATGCCTCGGCGATATCGTTTGTAGATTCCCGGGCCTCTGCTCGAATCTGCTCCTCCCGCCGCATTGCTGCTTCAGCTTCTGCTGCTTCTCGTTGATTCCGTTGCTGCACCTCTGCCAAACGTGCTGCTGCAATCTCCTGCCTGTCCTTTGCTTCCTCTGTCTGCTTGTGTAGTAGCTTCTGGGCAGCCTCCAAGCTTGCCAGCTCTGCTGCTGTTTGGGCTGCTTTTGCTTCTGTTTCAGCACGTAGCTTCTCTGCCTCCACGTGGCTAGCGAGCTCCTGTCTCTTCTTTTCTGCTGCAGCCTCTTGTTCTTGTAACGTCTTCGCGTGTGCTAGGGCTAGGGCCTGTCTTTGCTGTTCTGCTGCAGCCTCTTGCTCTTGCAACTTCTTGGCGTGTGCTCGGGACAGCTCCTCCTGTCTTTGCTGTTCTGCTGCTGCTGCTGCTGCTGCTGCCTCTTGTTCTTGCAACTTCTTGGCGTGTGCTCGGGACAGCTCCTCCTGTCTTTGCTTTTCTGCTGCAGCCTCTTGTTCTTGCAACTTCTTCGCGCGTGCTCGGGCTAGGGCCAGCTCCTCCTGTCTTTGCTTTTCTGCTGCAGCCTCTTGTTCTTGCAACTTCTTGGCGTGTGCTCGGGCTCGGGACAGCTCCTCCTGTCTTTGCTGTTCTGCTGCTGCTGCTGCGTCTTGTTCCTGCAACTCCTTGGCTTGTGCTCGGGCCAGCTCCTCCTGTCTTTGCTTTTCTGCTGCTTGGTCTTGCAACTCCTTGGCCTGTGCTTGGTTTGGCTTGGTTGTTTGCTCCGGCAACCCTAGCACCGGTTCTTCTGCATCATTCTGAGTTTCTTGTGTCGCAGACAAGGTCGCGGTGATCGTGGGCTCCTAGCGGGGTTTCAATCAGCAAAACAAAAGCTGAGGATTCGAGGTATTAAGTATATGGCCTGAACAGCACCGCTTTGCTGCTTGACCTCTTCAAGCTTCTCCTTCAAGACCTGATCCCAACAGGATTGTCTATACGACCACATCTAGGATTCCAACAAAGGTCTAAACAGAGCCAGCCTTGATTTGGTTCATGATTTCGGCTTCGTCATCCGGTAGTTCTTCTTTGATGACACCGCGTTTCGCGATGTCATCCAAAAGCGCCATCCCCCGCCCCAAAGTGGCGGTGGAGCTGGGAACAGTCTCGGCACTGCCCTGTGAATGCATTTCGAGCAAAAATCTGCAGATTTGGATGCTAAAAAATCACAGCGGGGAGGCTACCGCAGTTTTCCGCAATCTTACCGGGGATTTCCGCCATTTTACCGGGGATTTCCGCTATTGTTTTCCGGCCGCTTTCCCACGAAATCCGGCAAAAGTCTGAATTTGTCATGAATTTGCCTTCCGAGCTGCAATCTGGCTCACGGGGCCAGCCTAGACTCCTAGAGGCACTCATGATCACATGCTGCATTGAGAAACACAGCTTTCCTGCAATCAAGGATAAGTATACTTTGGAATCAGGGATTTCAACTGCTGGGGCAGCTTCAGCATTCCACTCGTCCTCAAATAGAGAACGACCTCTCCAAGATCAGCCTCGGACCACTCATCATCGGCCCTCCAGGGAAGCTCACCGAACAGCTCGTAGATGTTCTTCTCAGGAAACACCTAGGAAAGATGGTGTCGATCTTGGGGAGCATCTTTAGGGTTTAGGGTTTCAGGAATTTAAAGCTCCATGGTGCTCTGGTATGGGATCTCCGAAAGACTAATTAATCAGGATTGCAAATTATACATGTGTAGCGAAGACAAAGCTGCAAAAGACCAGCAGAACCCCCGAGCTGTAGAACCCCTCACCCGATCATCCTTATTATGAACTGATTCCAACACTCCACATTTCAAGGTCTTCAAGTGGCATCTCCGATGATGGGCCTCGTCTAGCAAAGGTAAAATTTAGAGTTGCCAAAGGTGCCTAAGAGTACTTTCGGTTCCCTCTAGTGCTGGCTTTTGGTCTCGGGGTGGCTTTATAGATGCTCAAGAACTTTGGACATTTGGGACAGATCGATCCGAGGCCTCAAATTAGATGGACCGAGAAAGGCCTCACAATTCTTTGTGATCCAGGGATCACGAGACTTTAAATTAAGGGGCCGTGCCTTTACGGATTTTGGGGTTTAGTATTTATAGGGTTTAAATTAAGGTTTAGGGTTTAGGGGGTTTAGGGTTTAGGGTTCAGGGTTTAGGGTTATGGTGCACGAGCAGAAATCGCCCTTTGACGCCTTTCAGCTACGTGAGAACAGTGGCCATGGTTTCGAGGATAGGGCTCATGGATGATGCTTCACGGTTCGGTGTTGGGATCAAGATTGTCTTGGTTGCCGAACGAAATAAACAATATGGGACCTTTTCAAGGGCCTTGCAGGGGGCTCGTCAATATTCTGATTAGATTAGCCTTTGCAACATCCTGGGTGGTTTAGGGGGTGTGGTTTTGCATCATGCGTAGATCGAGGGTTCAGGGTCTTGCCTGCATGGGTCTTTCGAGATTCCATAGCTCAGGCCCCAAACTCCCCCATAACCGTCGACCGAAATATTTGGGACTAGACATGCATGCTCCAAGAAAAAGAAACCGCGAAATCTTTCGAGCACTATATCACACACACACACACTTGCACTAGCCAAAGCCTTGACCAAGTTGTTTTCACGCCCGAAACACTGTATGGACCAACCCCCATCCTCCCTGGACCTGGAAGAATTAATTGCTCTAATTAAGATCCCCTGCTTGAGGAAAAGCCGCCTCTGCGGGCTTCGGGCACTGCTGCGCTTTTGCAGGCAAGACCATGTTCACCACCCGGCGGGCGAAGAGAGGAGGATATATCCTTAGCGGGAGCTAAGATCGATCCTTCCTTTACAAAGGGTTTCTAGTTTCATTAGCGGGTGAAGCTTGGGGGCCTATATAGAACAGAGGGTTT